TGTGGCTGAAGATCTGACTAAGAAAACCTGAGACGTCTGCTTACCCGTCGACAGCCTACCTGCAATTCGAATGAATAAATGAATGAAAGTATTATATCGATTGAGTGTACGGAATATAGAAATCTTCATCTTCATCTTCCATCGCCGCTTCTCCTTTCGGGACGCGAAGGCAGACACGTCAGACAGAGCTTCCAACGTTCCCGATCCTGTGCCAGAGTCTGAGCTTCGGCAAAAGACAAACGGAGTCTGGAACAGACTCCTTCCATATATTTGCACTAGGTTAATCTTGGCCGTCCCCTGGGCCTTCTGCCGATCAGATTTACAAGGAACAGTTGCTTAGCTTTCCTTTTTGGAGGCATTCGCAAGACATGTCCAAGCCATCGCCGCTGTGACTTCTCAGTCTGGAGAAGCAAAGGCTGTAATATAGAAATCTTTCAGCATCAAACCGTATTTGCATATAACAAGGTAGATGACGATACCCCCCGCCCCCCATATAGTGGAAGATCAAAGAATCTGTGTGAGTGTGGCAAGGAGTATTCTCATCACGGACAAAGGAAAAAAGAAAAGGTAGTTGGAATGTCAGACCGCTCATTTTTATGAAATTGATAGTGTATGCTGATGTGCATTTCTGTCATCAGCCAAGAGTGTCTTATTTTAGAGGCAGAGTATACAGCTATGTGGCATGCGTAGCGTGTAATTTCCTGTTTCCTCCCCACAAAGTCGCACTCGTTTATTAATATTGGAAGGAAAGAGGGCGAGTGCTCTAAATGGGGTCTGAATTCATGACCTGTTGGTTCTGAGTATATATAGAACTAGACTTCTTAGACAACAGTACTAATATAGCGAACAACCTACGATTGATTCTACTCTCACCATAGAGGAAATTAAACGATCCACTTATGTATCGTTGTGTTGGCTGAGATCACCACCTGGAGCAGTTTGCACAAGAAGAACACCTCTGTTCTTAATGTCCGTTGTAATCGCAGCTTTTCAACAAGTCTGCCATAAAACACCGGTTACTGCATCGTAGAAGGAAATATTACTATCAAACAGCAGATCTTCTTCCATGATGCGTGCTAGTCACAAGGTCGACTTGTTCCGCATTTTGGTTCCT